GATGGTTCATAGGCCCGAATCCTTATGGCTCGGGAGAAAACACGGCAACGAACTTGTGAGGTGAGTAAAAGGAATACAAACCTGGTCTCTCCTGTTTAGGTGCCCGGGACTCTGCCTTGGATAGCTTTCCCAAGCGCTGTGTCTGTGCTTTGGAGACAGCCATAGTTTCAGCCCTCTCCATTTCCCGGTCACGTTCCCACTGCTGTTCTTTCTCCTTCTCCTTCTCAATCCTCTCTTTCTCACGCTCCATCTCCCTCTTCCTCTCTCTCTCTCGTTCCATTTCCCTCTTCCTCTCCCTCTCACGTTCTTCCTTTTCACGTTCCTCTCTCTCCCTTTCTCGTTCCCTCTCCCTTTCTCTATCCCGCTCTCGCTCCTGCTCTCGCTCCTGCTCTCGCTCCTCTCTCTCCCTCTCCTGTTCACGCTGTTCCCTCTCCCGTTCTTGCTCACGCTCCCTCTCTTTCTCTTCCCTCTCTCGCTCCCGCTCCTTCTCAAGCCAACTTTCATCCCTTGGCGTCCCTACTGCCAGGTCCACCTGCATCCAGATATGCAATCCAAAAATGGGCACACATGAACATTGTAGTTGACAATCCCCTGTCGAATAATACAGAAAGAAGGAACAACATTTTCCCGAGCTTCACTGGTGCATAAGATGGCCCCAAAATTCTGTTCAGCACAACATGGGTCTGTCCGTTCCATAAACTGCCATGCAAGAAGCACTTACCGACGGAGATGTCGGGCTGAGTTCCATTTTCTCTCCCCTTTCAAGCGAAGCACTCAATCGCGGAGATCGTGTGCTTGGTGGTGCTGCTACTTGGAGTTTGTCAGGATGTTCCTGCCAACAACATCACAAAATGTTCCAATTCCCATCAGACAAGTCACGGCCAGGCAAGACAAATACCACAGCGGATCGAAAGAACAAAGCACAAAGGAGCAGAGGGCTGAGAGGTCCCAAAACAGCAAGGCAGCTGCCAGCCAGGTCCCAAGCACTCACCATGAGATCTATATTCAGATTCACAACACGGCCACTGTCCGAAGCACCGGGAGACTGCAAGCCCCTGCAACACCACAACACCACCATCACATCCAAGTGAGAGAGAGGATTGGGCAGAGCATGCCAGGAGTAGCCTTCTGCACACTATACCATTCAGCAATGTTACTCAAACTATCAAGGCACATCGGCACACATGTTACACAGCATACACTACAGCCACGATTGACCACACTGACACCCATTCAATGACAGGTTTAAACGTTGCAACAAAAAGCTGCAAATGCAAACATGATAACCCTACTGAAGCTTGTCCTTCGCCTGGTACGTCCTGTCAGTTTACGAGGAATTAAATACGAGCAGGAAAACCGGCATACCCTTCCGCCAAGTGGCTCTTCATTGGGATTCAACATGAGAGTGGGCATTTTGAGATCAAATCAACCACAGAAAGGTTGGTCCTCTAGCACCACCTGCAGTAAGCTGGAGGACGCAGTTGAAAAGTTCATTTGCCTTTCTTGAGGGAACCTGATGCTGGGCCCTAGAGATCCCCATGACAAAAAATCAAAGTCTGCTCCTAGCATGCATCGTTTGCCAGGGCCAGCCACAATGCAGCAGTAGCCCCGGATCAGGGTCCAGACATGGTGCGAACGTCAGGGTATGGCCTCGCCAAGGTGTGCGTAAAGCATCCTCTAATATTCTCTCCAATTTAGTAGGGGATCTAAAGACCCATTGCAATCTTAATTGTCATTCCATATTTTATGCTGGTCTTGCAGGTGCTCCTCTTCTCTCTCAGGAAGACGAGTTCCAAAACAAAGTTCATGCTCCATGCACTGTAGGTCCAATTTCATCCAACAGTCCATTCCATCCACCAGTGAATTCATCCAAGAGAGTGGAGGAATGGACTTGTGAACCGAATTGACTGCATTCAAAAGCCTGCAGTCTCAGTTATGCCAAACACCAATCTAACAGTAATGCTCGGAAACGCACACTACTACCCCCAACTCACTAGGCCGATCCTTTGCGGCTGCACGAAAGTCTTCCCTGGAACATAGTACACTCTCAAAATGAATATGTCGAACCCAAAGATTACTTACGTACATTCATGACCAGGGTGCGTCATGCTCGCGAGAAGACAGTAGCACTAATCCTCTCCCACCTACTGGAATCCGGGACGGTTTGGCGTGACACACATTTACAACACAGCGGTTTCTGTCAAAACCAATCTTCCGGAAAATGAGCCCAGTTCTCGTCACGCCTTTTCATCGCCATAGGACCAGCCCCGAGAGCCTTTAAAATATTTTTTTCTGCCTGGACAGAGCAAACCAGTGTTTCTGCATCTTTTCCCACAGCAAAATGCAAGCCCTTCCAGGAATGCAATCAACCAGGGCGAGCATCATGTCAGCTTTCAGGCCACAAGTCACACACACACACACTGCAATGTGACCTCTGAAAGTATGACGGGTGATACCGCTCCCCAGGCAAAGATGTTTACTGACGTTTGATGACGTTTCAAACCGCAAACACCAGCCCTCTGCTGCCAGCGATTCAAGCTATAATTTAATTTGCACAGCGTAGGCATATGGGCACAAAACACTCCCACGCCATAGTAAGCTTCCTTGCTAAACACTCAGAAAATACCAAGCGGCCCCACCAGGGTACAAATCCATACCTAAATGCACCACTTCTCTGCTGCAAGCGCTTTTGAACATGAAAAACCTTACCCGTAGGCCCCCCCCTTTGATTTGCATGCTGCAAGTCTGAAGAAAAACACACCTTATCCGCAGCCTCCCCCTTTGATTTGCACGGATTAAGTTTGAACAAAAGCAAACCTTACCCACAGCCTCCCCCTTTGATTTGCAAGTCTGGACAAAAAAACACACCGCACCAGTAGCCCCCCCCTTTGCTATATACCCCGATACAACAAACCCATGTAGCTTAATAGTACACCCGTGAACTGCTGATACACAGACCGGTTCAAGTCCCGAAGGACTCAGAATAATAATAATAATAATAATAAAAACTCTGAATTACCTGTCAACAGTTAGTTGGAATACCTCGAGGTTGTCGTCCTTTTCTCTATTTAAAAGGGTGATGAATCAGAGCAGTCCCATTACATAAACCTCCCCACTTTACACGGACCAACGAGTCCTGAAGTTACGGTCAGGCCCCACGGGTGATATGTTCATGCTCAAAAAGCACGAAACCGATCACAATCACTGTCATGTTCATACTTTGTTCTTATTGTGATGTACTTTGTTAGTAGCACGAACATAGCACCAGAGGGGCCAAGGCCTTTGATTTTTTTTTTTTTTTTTTACCCTCAGTCAGGTTCATGCGAGGGTCACCCGATGACACTTCCCCACACACTGTTACATAGCCTATGCTGCCGCTTCTCAAGACTGCCTTGACAGAGCCAGCCCACACAAGCGATTATGATAATAAATCACACACCAGAAAGCCCGCTTCTGTCACTACCACAATTTTTTTCCTAATCAACTAGCCACGCCCTATTTTTGGTACACCCATGTATTGCTGAACTCGACTTAACAGGTAAGATAACTCTGAATTAACCTGTGGAGATGGTCAGCTCGAAGATGATATCGCAACGGCGGGAGGGGGGGAAGAGGGAACCCATGTTTTCCTACTCGATTCTTGACTTTTCTGCATATGCCTGTGAACATATGCGCAAAAAGAAAAAGGTGGTTTCACAAATACCAACCGGGGTACCAGTAGCTCGGTACAACCATCAACTGCTGAAAAACAGACCGGTGTTCGCATCCCGATGGAGCTAGATGAAGAAAATCCAGACCTAGATAAAGGTGACCGCTTCCACGACATATCTAAGGCCGTCGCCCTTTCTTTAACCAAAAAGACAAGATCCCCAAATACTTACCAACCCCCTGGGGCCATGGAGGCCAGCCTGGCCCATTATTACTCGAAAACTTACCTGCCTGGCCCATTATAGGTCGAAAAACAGTGCGAAGAGCAGAGAAGACCGCACTGACAATAGCACTTTCCGGGTTGCATCCGGTTGCAAATACAAGTGCTGGGCCAAAATCTACAACGCCCAGGCCCGGTAAAGGTTTGGTGGACAAAGGGTACCACAATTATTTTTCCTCACGGCGCCATTGTAGATTTTTCCTTTCTTACGTGTCATCCTTGCTCAGGGGCCATGCTTATTCTCTGTATCGTTTCAATTTTACCGGGTGTCCCAAAGGACGTACTGTAGATTTCAGGCTTGGGGAAATGCCACTTTTGGTTTGCCAAAATGGCCCCGGATGGAGTGGTGGTTTAAACCACCAGTCTTCTTCTGCTCCATTCGCTAGGTCTTCTTCCCCTCCTTCCTACTCCCTGCCTTTCTCCATACCCTACCACCGCCGCCATACCCTACCACAGCCATACTTCTTCCCCATCTTCTTCTTCTTCTTCTTGATCATTCGGTAGGTCACGTGAGGTACGACAGGCCGTCCACCTACCCCCCCCCTTCTCGGCCCTTCTTCTTCTTCTTCTTCTTCTTCTCCTTCTCTCCTCCTCCTCTCGTCTTCTTCTTCCCCTCGTCCTCCTCGCGTTGTCATCTGCTCTTCTTCTTCTTCTTCTTCTCTCCCCTCCTATCGTCTTCTTCTTCCCCTCGTCCTCCTCGCGTTGTCATCTTCCTCCATAACCTTTCTTCTTCTTCGTCGTCTTCCCCTTCTCCCCCCACAGCCATACTTCTTCCCCATCTTCTTCTTCTTCTTCTTCTTCTTCTTGATCATTTGGTAGGTCACGTGAGATACGACAGGCCGTCCACTTACCCCCCCCCACTTCTCGGCTCTTCTTCTTCTTCTTCTTCTTCTTCTCTTCTCCTCCTCCTCTCCTCTTCTTCTTCCCCTCGTCATCCTCGCGTTGTCATCTTCCTCCATAACCTTTCTTCTTCTTCTTCTTCCCCTTCTCCCCCACTCGTTTTCGCTCTCCTCCTCTTCTTCTTCTTCTTCTCGTTTTCTTTCTCCTCCTCTTCTTCTTCTTCTTCTTCTTCTTCTAGTTTGTCGACATTCCGTAGGTCACGTGAGACACGACAGGTTAAAACAAAAAAAAAAGACAAAGGCCGTCCTCCTCCCCCTCCGCTCATCTTCTTCTTCTTCTCCTTCTTCTCTCCTCGTCGTCCTCTCTTCTTCTTCTTCTTCCCCTCCTCCCCCTTGCGTTTTCATTTTTATCCTCGACCTTTCTTGATCTTCTTCCCCTCCTCACCTCTCTTCTGCTTCTTCTTCTTCTTCTTCTTCTTCTTCTTCTTCTTCTTCTTCTGCTTCTTCTTCTTCTGCTCCATTTGCTAGGTCTTCTTCTCTCTTCTTCTTCTTCCCCTCCTTCCCTACTCCCTCCCTGCCTTTCTCATCCTCCCATCCATCCATCCCTCCCATCCATCCATCCCTCCCCCCATCCCATCTCGCCATCCTCCATCATCCCCTCCATCCCATCTCGCCATTCTCCATCCTCCATCATCCATCCCTCCATCCCTCCATTCCATCTCGCCATCCTCCATCCTCCATCCATCCATCGATCACTACCTCCATCCCTCCCTCCATCCCATCTCGCCATCCACCCCTCCCTCCCTCCCATCTCGCCATCCCTCCCCTTCTCCATCTATCCATCCATCTTCTTCTTCTTCTTGGACGTTGTTAAGCAGTCACCCTCCATCCTCCCATCTCGCCATCCTTTTATTGCAGATTCGGGGTCCTCTCGCCGAGCGCAGAACGACTTCGGTTTCAARAAAAAAAAAAAAAAAAAAAAAAAACTGGGCGTTTTTTTGGGCCCCCCGGTTTACCCGGGCGGCGTCCTGAGTGCTAAGTCATGGAYTGGTTTCTTCAGCCCTTTTTTTGACGTGTCGGTGCTTTATATGATCGACATACAAGCCGACTTGTTAAATATTATGGAGGTTTAGTTGTACTGTCCATATCTTTCTTATCTGGCTGGAAACTCTATTTTCTTTTCTTTTCTTTTCTTAATAAACAAGCTCTGCAGCCTAGATCAGCAAAAAAGACAGAAAATATGCCGCAAAAAACTGCTACTGGAGGTATTCAGCTTTTGTTTCCTCTTTTTACCTTTCCCCTTCCATTTTATTTGTTTCGGGTAAACACAGCTCTAGTCTATTCATGGGGTGGAGAGCAGCATCTGATGGGAAACTGACAGTAGACGTTGTGCTAATGGCCCGACTGTAAATTTGTGAGAGTCAGCAAAACACCCCCCCCTCCCCCTTCCCCACGCTTTGGGAAATCAGCAATAAGACGTAGGAGCAATTCCAAGAGCACAGCCAGTAAGTTGAATTCACAGTGGGCTTCAGCGTATGTGTCAAGGTGTCGCATTTTCAGCGGTGGGCGACCAAGATGCAAGTGGGTTCTTAGGGGGCAAAAGTTTTGGGGTACTGGTCCTTGGCGATATTGCGGCCGACCAACAGCTAGCTCTCCTAGAACTGGGACTTTTGGAAAAAGGAACGACCGGTCGTCAGATGGAAGCGAACCCCCAAAAGAAGTAAGAAAGGGAGGCATCTTGTAGCCCACCCACCCACCTCTCTCTCTCTCTCTCTCTTGCGCAAGCGCTTAGTCCCATTGCTTTGGCTACCTTAGGGCTGCGTTTCCCGCACACACGCGGTAGACAATTGAATTTAAACCATGCATCTGGATGCCGGCAACGTCCACATACAAATGTTATGAACTTCTCCAGTGTCTCGCCAGATGATGATACTTGCTCCAACTCATCAGTGCATCACTGCCTGGATCCAATCGCTCTGATACCAAACTGTTATGAACCTGGTTGCTTTATGACGATTGGCATTTCGCAGATCGCAACGACGGCTTCAGCGTTAGAGAAGACAGACATAGCCAGACCCTACAAGCTTCGGCCATAGCTGGGTCCTTCGCTGTCCTCTGGTAGCACGTGGGGCTGCTCAGAGGTCGGGCTATCTGAGGTCTGATGGAAGTGGCAGAAGTTGCTGCCCTTTCGAACCCTCCTCAGGTGTAGGGTTCCAGGTCGTGGCGCTGCAGCCATAGCTGCAGCTTACAGCCTCAGAGATCTCCTTTGTCAGGAAAGGTGGTGCTGCTGCAGATCTTCACCTGTGAAGTCATCTGGCACTTCATCTTCATCAGATGTGGCGCTGGTCTTCTTCTTCATCCTCTGAGAGGCGCTTGGCCTCAGGGGCCTGTTTCAGTGTGGCGCTTCCCTCCGGAGGCAGTATCTGGGTGGCGCTGGTTGTTTCAGGGGTTCTGGGGTAGTAGATAGCGGTTACTCTGGGTTGGGGGGGAAGCGCTGCTCATTTCATAGCAGCGCACCATGTTTCTGAGACTATTCTGACAAAACGATCTCTGAGTTTAATAAACAGTGTTGATACTGTGTGGTGACTATCTTTGCGTCATTGCTTTCTGGATGTGATCTACTCGACTTTCCTTTGTGACTGGTTGTGGGCACTCTGTGGAGCGAATTGCATTTTCAGTGTAGTCTGTCATATGGCATGGACAAGGCTTCCGCTGTGTTTCATTCTCTTTGTGTGGCGTGATACTCCTATCATCTCCCCTTCCTTCTGTGTATGTATGGGCATGCATGGAAGTCTATGGGAGCGAGTGTTGGTCTTCTGACAACAAGCAACCAGGTTCATAACACAAACCTGGTGCACGTGTTGGGGTGCATCGGGATGCCGTGGCCATCCATATACACACCTAATGCACATGAGCTTTTCTGTTGAAGTCACCTGGGTTCTGTTCTCATTCCGTTCAATGTGCCACCTGGAAACCAAAACGCAGACAGCTGGGGCACAAGGGTTCCTTTTTTTTCCACCTACCCAGGTTCTGGCCTCCGTCGATTTCTGGCAGAATACGAAGCTGGGGCCTGGGGCCGGAAGAGCCCGTTTGATATTGGGGGGGGGGGGCAATAAACGTCTAGAGACGAAGAGGAATATTTTCCGATGAGTGGGACTGCAGCCCGACACAAATCTGACACGAAAACTTTTCCAACTGGACGTATTGTTGTCAGATGCATCCAGGTCCGGCCGTAGTTGCAGTCAGATACATGTAGAAAAGTGCTGGTGTGAGTATGCCCTCATTACTGCAGCAAGGGACGTGGTGCAGCTCAGGTCACAACTTCCAACCCTCGCTCCCAACCACACCAGCGTAGATTGATGATTTTGTCTGCCTGCAAGCACAGCTCAGGAGGCCAAGGGTTGGGCCGCCCATGGTTCCTGACGACGTGGGAACGTGGAACTCAACTGGCAGCAGTGACGCTGGAGCATTGGGCTTCGCTCCACTACTCACCACATCCATAAAAGACAAAAAAATAATGGTGGTGCATCTTCCCATGTTCTAGTGGAAGAGTCATTGGCATCTTGCACATATGGTGAGTAGCGGAGCGAGTCCCATTCCCATTTGCACCCTTAGCTGCAGCCTTAGATGAAGGGGTGAGTGGTTTATCAGCGTGTCGGTGCATCTCTCCATGTTCTAGCAGAAGACCCGTTCTCATCTTGCATACTTGGTGAGAACTGGAGCGAGGCCCATTTACACCCTTAGATAAGCGGGTGAGTGGTTTGTCGGCGTGGTAAGTCCAGCCCGGAATTTTCATTTCAATTCCGGTCAACAGGGGGGTGAGTGGTTTATTGGGATGGCACAGTCCAGCCCGGAGTTTCATTTCAATTCAGGTCAACACGGCCTCCCTCAATTGGGGTAAGTGTGACCCCTCCCGGCCAAAGAATAAAAAGCGAACGAACTGCATCGGCACAAGAAAAGAGGAAAAACTGAAGGGCCTCAAACAAATTGAATGTATGTGAAACATTACAAGGACTGTTTTATGCCCCATATACATTCCGAAATGGATGAACATGTTGAATGTATGGGAACCATTACAAGGTCCAGGTTCATTTACAATGTTCTGCAGTGGAGCGATGCCCATATATTCCAGCTATTGCACGAGGCGCATAATCATATCCATTACCGGAAGGCCACGCTGCATCTCATGGCGCCACTCACACCCCACCTGGTCCTTTTACCGCAAATAAGAGGAGAGGGGGGGGGGGGGGGGAGGTCCACACACGTAGCGCCTCTGAGCATCATGTTGTTTCTGAAATGACATGGCACGCGCTTTGGCCCTCGCTGCACTACACAACACTCTACATGCATTTGGACGCTTTCTGCATTCGATCCATTCAAAATGTTGGACTCGTCGGGAAGCATCTGGCACAGAAAGCGTCCAAGTGCATGTAAAGTGATTGTGGAATGTAGTGAGGCCCTCAATCATACAGTGCGCAACGTGAAGCAAGTACAAGCGTCGGCAGACTATGGCCTCCGCGGCAGAGTTGATTGAATACTGGGCAGTGACATTGGCGGCAGACTCCACATGGCTTTGAGGGATGGCTGGCTGCCTGCCATCTTTCTTTTCTTTTCTAATGCCAGCACAGCAGACCGACGCCCGGCGGATCCGCATATCCCGATCATCACACGAGAAACAATCCGCCGCCCAGGCGGCAGACTTTTTGACACAGTGATTCGGCAGTGGCCAAGTTCATTCACGGGTTCTGTATCCATCGGATTCAAAGGTCGAGCTCATGATCTATTTTATAGACAGTCGCATGCGTGGCAGTCGGCCACAGGGGCCCTTCCCCTTGGCATTCTGCGGGGGACGGGGGGGAGTATACGCAGACACACAGGTTGCCCGTCATTATGAGAAGAGTTGCGTACCTGCAACGGGGAGAGGTGACGGTGTGGTTTCCGGTGACAGGAGAGCGCAAGCGGTGAAACAACAAAAAGACGAAGTAAAATTGAGCCTCGACCCAAGAACCTAGCTCAGTGGGTACACCAAGCAACTGTTAAAATGAAGACCAGAGTTCGAATTCAGATTATTGTTCTAGAATCTAGATGAATAAAACCAGATATTTCTGAATTGCCCGAATTGCCTGAATTGCCTGAATTGCCTGGGGCCAACCACATGTACAATTATATTGCAAAATATCCAAATTAGGGCCGGGGTCAATGATGATATCTCAAGGCCATCGCCCTTTTTTTTAAAAGCAAAACAACACAAAGAGCCTCGGAGAGGGGGGGGGGGGGATGCGTGCGCCCCTTTGTTGATCTACTTACCGTTTACCAAGCTCCAATCTCGTGGCGGGCTCGTTGGCGGACGCGGATGCATTAAGTGATGCGGAAGTTGACCCTGAGCCGCGAACGGGACTCGAACACGGGCAGGCGGGAACCGACGAGTCGTCAGCTATACCTGGGAGAGGAAGTGATATAGGGAGGGAGAGTGATGGCCCTTCTACAGACGCAGCAACAATTGATGCTGGTGTTGCAGATGCTGCGGCAGCAGACGGAGTCGTAGTAAGTGACGGCCCACATCCGACAGGACCGATGACTCCAGAGCTGGTGAGACCTCCCCCTCCCCCTCCTCCTCCAATGCCACCTCCTCCTGCTGCTGCTGTTGATGCTGATGCTGGTCCTCCGCTGACAACAGCAGCGCCGGTAGTAGATGATCCTCCTCCTCCTCCCCCCAAATGTATGCTCGCTGCAGCAGGCGTTCCAGATGCTGAAGGTGTGCAAAGGGACGTGCTAGGTAGAGACGACAACGGGGCCTGGTGCTGAACCTGACACGTGGTACCGCCTCCTGCTCCTCTTTTACTCTCCTGGGCATTGTACTTGATCTCTTGCCCGACCGTCACTGCAGCGGAAGCCACAGCAGCTGAACTGCTTGTCGAAGCGGCCGCCACCGCCCCCGTCGCTGCACTCGCTTGATTGGACAGCTGATTGGCAACGATGGGGATTGGAGGTCTTTTGTCCCCCCCTAGAGCGATGTTAATTGCAGCGTTCACTCTCTCCACTTCGGCCTTGATCGACTTCTTATCCATGGCGCTAGTGCTCTTCTTATCCATACTCGACTTGCTGGTGGGCCCACTGCTCGAGCCCTGCTGCTGATGATGACTCGTCGAACTCGCTGCAGCGGCGCCGGCGCCGGCCGCAAACGGCGCGCCCGAAGCCGGAGCTGGATTGCCATGATTCAAAGGATTACCTCCGCCTCCACCATGGCTTCCCCCAGAAATCGACACCACAGCTGTCGACAATCCATGTCCACCATGACCAACATGGTGGGGCAGTGAATAGCCTGCTGTTGGGCCTGGAATTGCCGATCCGTTAGTCGCGCTGCTTGCAGCATTGCCGGAGCCTTCCTTCGATGATAGAGGGGCCGCCAGCGCACTCTCACCTTTGCACTCTTTCCCCTCGGGAGGATGGTGCATTAAGCTCGTAGAGGGACCACAAGGAGGACCGGAAGTAGCAGCTGCAGCGCCCACACCCCCAGTCCCGGACCTGCTGCTCTCGAAGGAACGATCAGATGGATCGTGTTTGACTGTCCCCACGTCCGCGCCCAAATTTGCAGTCACGTTGGCACCGCCTTGCACAGCCGCTGCAACGCTCCTACCCACCACAACCCCATCCTCGGTCTTCGGTCGTGGTCGAGGTCGTTTCCGCTTCGTCACTGTAATGCAGGCACAAGCAAGGTCATTCGAACCGAGACGAGCACGTGATTGTTCAGACCCCGATGATCAGCACCTACTACCTACTTATCTGCGTGTTTCGCACCATAACATGAATATACATGACATCAGCACCTCTCTCTCTCTCTCTCTCACACACACACACACATATACGTGCACATACACAGGTGCACGGCAAAGGGGGAATACATACCATGGAGCAGAAAGCAAGCGATCGGCAAGCCCGTTACTCGGAGGAGACAACATCCACAGACAAAACTAACTCGGGAAGAAACGTTCTTACCTTCTGTAGTAGCCGTTGGAGCGGAAGACGGTGCTGGCGAAGGCCCTCTCGTGCCAGAGGGCCCTGACGACTGCCCGGCAGTTGATGATGACACTGGCAACGAGGGCGAAGCGGCTGGTGATGGAGAGTTGTGATGGTGAGACACTGGCATCGCCGGCGAATTCTGTCTGATCGGCACCGTGATGGGCAACGAGCAAAGTGCTGCCACGGCCTCTTGTTCTTGCTCCGAGATATTGCTTATCGACGATGTGTTCTGCGGCCGCCGAGAATGATGATGGGATCCATTCAACACATCAGCAACACGGCCGAGGGAGCAACATAACACACACATCCCAACACAAATAAATCACCAAACGAATGAGGGTCCTCCATTCGTCATTACAAGCAAAATTCAACTCACCAACGAATCAAAGTCATCATCTTGCACAACTTACATTCCCTCGTTCACCCCTCGTATAGTTCAGCCCGAGAGCTGCCAACATTCAACAAAGGCGGCAGGCAAGAATTTCCTCTCGTTACGTATACTCTTTATTGTTTTTTTAATCCTTCACCCTCTTGCACTTGCTTCAGGACACCACGCGCATCTACGCCAGGGGCTGCTACTGATTTGCCGCAAACACAAAATACCCTCATCATGATTTTTTTGGGGGGGGCGTTGAATACCGGGGAAGACAGTAGTAGCCAGATACGCAAGCAGAAGACATTACGAAGCTAGCAGACCGAACAACGAGCGTAGTAGAATATACACCCACCTTCGCTCCCAGTCACATTTTCCTCTCTTTCCTCATCACGTTTCCGTCTCTACTACTACCGTTTTCCCACAGGAAGAGTAGCTTGAGAGGGAGAGGGAGGGAGGGAGGCAGATGCAGAGATGGGGTTGTAAGAAGAAGGAAAATGGTCACGTCCCGCGGAGAACGCCCCAAAATGCCCGGGGCGAACGCGGACCAAGAACAGGATAGACAGAGAGGAGAGGGGAGGGAATAACCAAGCGCCGACTCTGTGAAAAGGAGATGGATGGTGGAAAAGGTGCCGCAAGTGGGCCGTAGACATTCTACTTTGTCCTTCAAGAATTTCCTGCACTACGAAGGTAAACACAGCTCAGAGAGCAAACGTCAAGATGAATGGCGATCATTCCCGCTTCCGGCCAGAACGAAGAGCTTGATTAACTGCAACGGCTTCTCCTACAGGGATGGACCGCTTCCCTCCCCGGCCCCCCCTACTCAGAGACGGAACTCCAAGACGAGTGGTTATCATTCCGGCTCCCGGCGAGAACCAAGAGCTTGCTACGGCTTGTCCTCCCGGGATGAACCGTTCCCTCCTCCCCCAGGGAAAGATAGCTAACATTATACTACGTAGACGCACGCGTTAAGATACTAGCAACCAAGAAAAAACAAAACAAAAACAAAAAACCATACAACCAACAATATACACGGTTCTGGCCGCTCACCAGCTATACTGCTTCCCGAGTCCACAAACAAAAGGGAATTGCGTTGCAACTTCCACGATCATAAACTGGCTTCTTAGGATCGCTGGCCACCTTCACTACTGAAATCGCGGCAAGTGCTGCCACAGCATCTCCGCCCCTACGTAGTTAGTACACAAAAAAGAGGCAAACCTGGACCACATTCTTTATATCATGATGATGTCATAAAAATGACCCTCGCAACGGCTTCTTGCTTTGAAACACGATAAGCGCTGCTCCCTAGAGGCATTGACATACAGACCCATCTACAGGATGCGCCCCACTCTCTGGAAACACTGAACGGTTGAGATGCAAATACCATCCCAAGCACTCACTCCTGTGCAAAGGACACCTCCGTTCGTCACCGCAGCAGCCACAAGACTTACCCCCCTCGAACAAAAGTACTCCAAAACTGGAATGAAACGAGAATGTGAAAACAAAAAGGCAGATATAACAGCAGCAGTAGCCGTGACTTTAGATCCCGCTTCTGCTCCGCCAAGGTCCACACTCCTCCGCAGCCCACCTCTCCACCTTCTCTCCATCCTCTCTCCTCCTCTACTCCACCACCTGCCCATCGTTGTCGGGTAACCCTAAACCTGCTTTCACTGCCCGGTATCCCAGACCTGCTTCCCCGCCTTTCCGACACTCCTGTGATTATTTCAACGATCGCTTGAGCTTACGTTCAAGATCCACTCACAACAGCCCATCTCGCCTTCCCCCTTTCCCCCCGCCAGTCCCGCGCGCCTCCCCGCCTTCTGGCGAGCTTCCCCGCCCTCCTTCAGGAGTCCCGTAAGCTTCAGCGTCAGGCGGCACGTCGATTGCCACGGGCACAAAGGTGAGAAGCTAGCGGGGGCAGCAAATAGAGAAAAAAGCGTAGAATAGGAGACCATCGTCGGCCGAAAACCGTAGCTTACCTTTGCCGGCTTCCTCGGCTGCTTCGGTGGATTTGACTTCTGTTCAGTCCAAGACGCACTCATCCACAGACAGTCACGTCATCGTGGATCGAGCACACCCACCCCACAATTACACAGCCATCAAGACGAGCGAACACAGAAGAAAACACGGATCGGAGCAGAAAACCGATTAGAAAGTGTCCAACATCCGGGGGGAAACAAGACAACATACCATGGCATGCAAGCGCAACGTACTTCCCCTCCTCCCCTCCTCTCCATAGCACACGAAACATTTCACAGGTCTAAAAAAGTGTCCGCATGAGAAAGAAGAGAGAGGGACGAAGGAGAAAATATAAGGCTGTCGAGTCACAAGTAAACAATACGAACAACATCATGCTCCCGGTCGGGACTGATGGAAGCAGTTCGGGCATCCTTGACAAGACAATATTCCCTCCATGCATTTTCCTCCCCCCCTGACAACAAATGGTCCGAAGGCGAACGGAAAAATAGGTGAACACTGTTAACGTTAAAGAGCAGTCAGTATTCAGTGAGAGGACGCTTTGTTGCATAGTCAATCAAGGTGGTTTCCCAACACAACACGAGAACCAAACCACATAAAAAAGACCACCTCCTTCCCGCTTCTATCATTTTTTCTGGTTTTATCGTCTGATTGTGTATCTGCATTCGAACTTGGGTCTGTACTTGAACAGCTCATGGATGAAACAACGAGCCTTAGGCATTTTTTCCCACGCATTTAAGAGAGAACTAAACTAGAAGACACGATGAGCAAGCAACAGCAACAGAATACAAAGGAGGACATAGGGCTTCGCACCACTGCACAACATCCCGAACGTATCTGGACATGGTGATGGTCCGTATTAAATCCAGATTTATTCAAAATGTTTCATCCCCCTTATATCTGGTCTCAAATGCAGTCCCGATACGTGTAGAATGTTGCGTAGTGGAGCGAGGCCCATAATAAAGAGGCGCGAGAGAGAAAGAAGGATCAATGGAGAATGGACAATAAACGGTACTTATGAGCCCGATAGAGCGCGGAGCGTGTAGAGAGAGAGCATGCCATGTGCTCTCCAGCAAGGACTTACGTGGACATTCGACACGTCAGCACGTCGCGGTAGAGCGTCGGAGCATACCATTCGCTTCGATTTCGTCGTCCCACTGACACAGCTCCCCCCGCCCCCTACGCCACCACCGGAGAGGGTCGACGACGGCACAGACGCGGACGCGGGAGCTGAGGTCTGTGGAGAATGCACAGACTGCGTCGCTGGCTCTGAAACAGTCGACGCTTGTGTCTCCTGTCGTTTGAAAACGGCTGCACACAAATCACAGCACCGCACAAAACCACAACCAAAGACCGAGTGTCGCTTATCAGCTTGTCAGCTTGTCGGCTCTGCACCTTCCTACAACTTACTCTCCGGCTACCACACTCCACATACACCCCACCACCTCAGACAGTCACCCACCCCAATCGAACTCGCTCCCAATCTCGGGCATTCGTCGCTCACACCCCCCATTGAATAAACGCAGACAAAATACCACCAAAGTGACCAAACACATTTCCAGATCGCAAGACCAATCAGTAAGTCAATCAGCAAAACAGGCAGTCCGTTCTTCCCTCCCCCACTTGAGCACCCCCCCCCCCCCCCGCAGACACGCACCCCCCGAAAACGCCCCTTCTTTTCTGTGAATGCTCTTTTTCTACCGTAAACGCTTTTTTCAACTCCCCTTCCCGGAGATCAGTCGTCGATCTGTTTGTCCACCCAACGGTGGCGGGAAATGGAGTGCCGACGAGGAACACAGTAAAGCAGCTGGGCAAACCCTGCCAGAAGTAAACAAACCCAGAGAGGAGCAGCGACGAAGTCCGCTCCTAATAGCAGCAGCAGCAGAACCTGTTATCCTGAGAATGGTAGTCCAGCGATTGCCGCTGCAAAACCTTACATCGTGCCAATTGTAATATCCTCATCATCATCGGATACATAGACCATTCTCTCGCATTCTCTGGGAGAGGCCCAGAGCAGTGGAGAAGAGAGGGCGAAGGTATCAGGAAGGTAAACCGATGCAGGCCACATGTTTACCATTCCAATGACGTAGAGGATACTACTCGAAACTGCGCTGGATTCCTCCACAATCACCTACCCGATGACAAGAGTGGAAACACACTCAATGGCAAGAGTAACAAGGGTGACAAGAGTAAAAACACGGGTTAACGGTAATAAGAGCCATGCCTTCCAATCTCTTTCGTTATTTTCGAGGACACAAAAGTTGCCCAAGGCAAGACGGACGACGACAAATTTGGACAATGGTCGCAAAACGAGATGTGTAACCGATCAGGTAAGGAATTTCGTTCGGGCAAACACGACTGCATTTACAGCAATTTAACGTGAGGTCGGGGCAGGTCTGGTGAACACAAATGGCTTCGCAACTCCGCGCAAAGAAACAAGACAAATGCGAGCCATACGTGAGCGACGAGCGATGTGCGTCCAGAACTTAAGAAAAAAAACACCCAATTGCTGAGAAAACGACCGGGCACGGAAAAAAGAGAGTACTGCCGGGGGTAGGGGGAAGGGGGGAGGCGCAGGAAGAGCGGGGGACGGCAGGCAACGAACGAGAAGGCTGAAAATAAAGAACCCGAAATAGGAAAGAGAGAAGGGAGAGGCGATGGAACGTTGCCCGATGCGCAGGTGAGCAGGGACATCGTCTAACAAGAGACGAGTGCCCAGGAGCTGCGCCACGGCGGGGCTCCAAAGGCCACACAGCAATCAGCAACGAGTGACGGCATAAAAGCGGCGTCGAAACCGGATCTGCCTCCAAACAGAACGCACGGATCGAATCAATCAGAGAAGACTGGAGAGAGACCATGATAGAGAGAGCATACCATGATAGAGAGAGAGCATCATAGAGAGAGAATAGAGAGAGAGAGAGAGAATATCATAAGCAGTACCAAGCAGATAGAAAGGTACTAGGCTCAGAGGGCGCCATCTGCGATGTGTCAAACAGAGGAATGCAGAGAGGACAAACCGACCAGCTAGCTATCGACAATGAGGCAGTATCATCCGTTGGCAGCCTTGGCCTCTCATAAGGTGTTATAGCGCGGCATCGTCGGGTAAACACCGCATTAGGCGGGCAGATAGCGGGCCGCAAGCGCGCCTTAAGCGCGCCGAATGCTGTCGTCAACCGGAAATCAAAGAACCGGGGGACAGCCCAAAAGACGGAAGGGTACGATTAGTACGCCGCCTAAGTGGCAGCCAGACAACGAGCGTCGAGGCTTGAGAGTTTTCCTACCCTCAGGAATAAGGATGATGACCAGCCAGACATCACCGACAGTAAGACATCCGATTCCTCCCCGCACGGGCGGAACCGTCGTCCGATCTTCCTCTCGCCTATTCTATGTATCACGCCGAAAACCTCACTGCGCCTGCACGCATCTGCTCAACTAGGCTCAGGTCATACCCACACTGAGACTTTGTTTACCAAGCTCTGGACGTAGTTGCAGTAAGATTCATCCACGTCGGGCCGTAATGGCAGTCAGAACATGCATATAGGAAAGTTCTAGTGTCAGTACGGCCTCACTCACCTCGTCCGCCCAAAGTACACCTCGTTCACATTACTACGCTCATTCGGACACGTGCTTTGTGGTTGTCCGTATTCCAGACCGTTAGAGAACTGGCTGGATTGAGCAGGGTAGGTTGAGGAGGAAATGGGAGGGGCCAGCCAAACGGGAATCTGAGGGAAGTGAGGGGGGCGGGGGGGGGGAAGGGGCAGGCGCGGAGAAGGTGGCACACTGGGGGAGAAGAGAACGCGAAGCTATTGGTATACCGACCCAATCGAAATAACACTGTACCTGCAGGGTTGATTGCGGTGCGTGCCCTCCGCTGCTGGCCGTTATCTGCACAGATATGAATCTAATTAGACATCACGTCCTGATCCATTACAGATAACCAACTTATACATGGGATAATAGCTTAACCCCTCAGGCCCCTCCCTCTCTTCCTTTTGTTGAAGTCCTGTTCAGAATCCCTCACAATTCACCCGCGCAATTTCTCCCCCCATCATACATGACCATCCTACGACCGTAGTTTTCGCAATTCTCAATGCAGGAAAGGCCCACGGGGGGGGATAAATTACGATGTCCCAGCAGCAGACACTCAACACGCAGTACATCCAACACCAAAATACAAGCAGCATTTCCATCCCACAAGAGACTCGAGAACCAAGACGAGGACCCTCTTCAATCCCAGTCATTCTCTCAGTGAGACCGTGGCAGAGTGTCTACCGAGCATCAGCTACACATGGAGAAGGCACCCCGCCACACATTCACAGACTTCGTGAAACCAAGTCGCAATCAACGGCCTGCGATAGGGATGAACGTATCAGCAGCAAGCAGAGATTACTCGTCACCTAGGACAGTTCACGGTTGCCTGAGGACACGTGTCCCCCCGCACACTTGCTTCATGCCGAACAGTCAGCCACTCGCATATAAAAGTGGACCATGCGAGACATTTCAGACTCGATCCATCCCCGACATTCATTCCAGAGACCGGCATGGCGGGAAGCCACGCGGGCATACAGGCGCGGCAGGCAGCCAGCCACACTGGAGTAAGACATACGCGTATGCCTCATTCTTGCGTGGTCGCCTTACCCTCTCCCCCTCCCTCCCCGCTCAACGTGGTCGCACAAGGTCGCGCAATGTTCTCATTCGCCAGCACAAGGTCGCCCAATGTTCCCATTCGCCAGATCAGCGAAGGGATGAAACGTTTATCGAACAGATATAAATAATCCTCAGCTTGACTAGCAGCAGCAGCACACGACATCCGTATCCACGTGGCAGTTTCCTCCTCAATTCTCCTGCGAACAGATATAAATAATCCTCAGCTCGACTGGCAGCAGCAGCACACGACATCCGTATCCACGTGGCAGTTTCCTCCCCAATTCTCCTGCCTGATGATATTTCCTATTATCATCCTTCAGAGCACACTGTCTGCGAACACACCACTCTCTCAACGAACTCTCGAAATAGTTGGCCCTTCATCTCTACTGCAACCATTCTTTCGGCAGCGAGTCCGGCAGCGCGGAGGCAGAGAGGACACCCTACCACCCTCTCGTCCCATGGAGAGTACGGATATCTCATCGGTTTCACCCTATTCGCGGCCACCTACCTTTGCCAGATGGGACTGGAGACGTCGCAACACGTCAAAGAACACACCGAGAGCCCGTCGAGGGCAAAAAAAGCCCGGGTAGTCATAGACCACACATTGCGCACCAATCGCTCACCCCCTTACAGAAGCACACAGCCCGCTCAGAGTCCCTCCGCAGGACGGTAATGGATTCATTATGTGGGATATACATATGCACATGTGACGATATATATAAATGCCCGCCTCCGACTTGATAAACAGCTTTCGGCCTCCTTTGGGGGGAATATCGTTTTCTCTGGCTCCATCGTGTCCACACTTATCATGATGCTATGGTCGCCCATCCAAGGCCACTTGGCTGGCAGTCACTAGGGGACGGCGGGAACCACAGTCACCAGAGCGCCAACCAGACAAAAGGAAGGATCTGCTCCGGCGAGGGCAATGTACTAACTCTCCTCCACTGGGTTGAGACACGTGGCTGCCGCCGCGACAGACTTCGAAAGAGTCTTATCTATCACTCCCATGTTTTCGCCGAGAGGTTTCTCCAATCACACCCGCACATCACTTCAACAGTCAACGTTCCTCTCTCTCTGGTCGCCTGACATGCGATCAATCTCGTCGGGCAAGAGTCAATAAGAAGATGATGACATGCCAGCAACTCCGGGAGAGGGGAGGAAACAAAGAATCGAAGAGCACACTGTCATCATACACACGAATACCATGCGCAGATTTCAACAGGCAAACCCATCCGTCAATCAAATCATTCGTAAACAAGACACTACTGTTGGCCTCGAACGCGGATCCAATTGAACCGTACCTGTTCTAGCTTTCCTCGGGACGGCGATCCGCTCGCTTGTTGAACTGTCCTCGGGAACCTGCGCAAGGAAGAGAGAGAGAGATCCACAGAGAATGTACGATGGGTGTCACGCTTGTGCTCTGCGAACATAACGACGACGACGACCGAGGAGGACGGCAGACCGAGGAGGGAAGAGTCAAAGAACACACGCCACAGGGAACAAAGGACGAGGGGAAAAGGAATAGAAGAGACCGAGAAAGAAAATTGCACACGTCATATTCCAAATCGCCAGGCACCTAACGGCGACTAACGGTAAGATGCCATGCAATCCACAACCTAACGGCAACTAACGGTGAGATGCCAAATGCGGCAACCCCCGCGATAGCACATCGGCGCCCGCCGCGCAATGCCCTTCATACATAGCTTCGTCGTCAGTCCCCTTACTACGTACGACGGCGCATGCAACGCCGGTCGGCAGCGCTCAAGCTGCGCGATAAGGGCGATGTTGCCCCGCAAGCAATATATAGACTCGACAAAAGAACAACGACAAAAGAACTTACCGTCTATGCCCCCCCCCTCCAAAGGGAGAGTGCTGTAGAATAGAGCCATTGCCCAGGTAAGGAGAGAAGGGAGAGAAGGGAGGGAGACATAGACCACAGGTGGTAAAGGAACGGGCACAGTTGGTAGGATCAGCAGCATGTAGGCAAAATCCACGGATCGTCCGTGGCAGAGACGGCGTGGGTGAGTTGGGGGGGGAGCATTTACATCCAGTGGTAACTAATCACTACAATCAAAAATAAACAACCTCGCCAAGACCCAGAGGTCCCCCTCCTTTCAATTATCACCGCTGCTACCTACCCACCTTCCCAGGAAGCCGTTTGGCCGACCTGCGGATCCCCTCGTCAGATCCTGTGCCCATGTCTCCCGCGTCGTCATCATCCTCGTCGTATTCATCTGCCATGCTGTTACGAGTCTGCGCCTCGCGCTTGCGCTTGTTTCTTATTCCGCTGGCAGAGCTGCCACCGCCTCCTCCACCACCGCCGCTTCCACCGCCCACTCCATGAACACCAATTAGCGGGCTCTCCTTTTTGCCCCTGCTATCCCTGTCCCTGTACCTCGGAACATGGACTTCTGTGTCCATCGTGTCGTCGCCATCATCTGAAACTGTAACAACAACACCACAAGACCAGCAGACATCGCACCCGGTCCAGATTACGTTCTTGTCCGATTCTTTTCCGATTCTTTTCCAAACACAGCATTTTCGTTACTTGTTGGTTGGCACGCCACATCATGTCAATCATTTGCACAAGTCTGCAAAACAACTATACCAAATGCACCAGTCAGGCGTAAAACCAGGCAGCCAAGCAACCACCTCTCAAAAACATTTACCACAAAGATGGACACTCTCTTGCGCGGAAAGGAAGCATTTTCTCGGAGACAGCGCGCGCATCGGAAGGAGAACCCGCATCATCACGTTTCAAACACCCCGTCCTTCGCCCGCCCGCCCGGCCCACCACCCCCCCATCATGTTTCTAACACCCCGTCCTTCGGCCGCCCGCCCCACCTCCCCCAACGACCCCGACCCCCATCTCCTTCCATCCTTCACACCACCTCACAACTCGCAGCACTTGCCAACCACTCACAAAGGTCCCATCAATTTCCCGCTATCCGTCCGTCGAGAAAGTCAAGCCTAGTGGCCTATCACATCTGCTCAGTCGGTCAGACCGACACCCTCAAGATTGGCCTCAGCGGAGCGAAGGAGGAAGGATGGGAGAAGCACGTGCGGGAATAGACAAAGATAGCCTTAGAGAAGAGAAGAGAAGAGAAGAGAATCGAGACGACTCGGGATTTTCGCCTTGACTACTTCCTTATGCTCCCCTTTCCCTTCCTGCATAACTTCAAGGAGCACACTTGCCAGCTTGCTTAACATTTTCCCTCCTGGAGCTCACTCTACGAAAGTCGCAATTTGCAACGCTCCCGACATGCCATCAGCCCTACCTCCCTTCCCCCCGAAGATACATTTCGTCTTTTTTGAGCGGAGCGGAGGGAAGGCCCGTCATGGGTAACCATTTGCCAGCCCATGGATAACTGAAGGGCAGCGAACAAACACGGATCGCTCCTCCTAGTCTGAGGTCCGGAAGAATCAGGTGGCTGGTAGAAGATCTGACACAGAGGGAGATGGTCCGAGGGGCGCGCAAGCTGCTGCTACATACGCGGGGACGAGCGCAAAGCGAGGAGGGGGAGTATATCGCAACAAAGAACCAGTATCCAGGACTGCCGCTGTCCGCCGAACACAAGGCATCCTGATCATGAATGTATAGAAGCTATCTTTCCTGTCAGGTACGGTCATGACGCGGGTGCGTTGTGTCCGGGGGCCAACGACGGTAGTGATGATCGCCGTCTGTAGCTCAGACGCATTCCCCGCGGCAAACTGGCTTGTAAAAGCACTGGCTCTTCACACCACTCACTGGGCAAAATCAAACCGTATATCATCCTCCTCACATTCGTTGCCCAAACGCACAGACGTCTTGCACTTTCAACGGCGAACTAGGCAGCCACTGAGTCACTCACAACCCCCAAACTGTAAAGAGCACAGGGGGAAAATGGCGGGAAACATGAGATGCGACGCAACGGTCGCTTACATCCACATCTCCTCAAGGGAAGGAGAAAGAGAGTGAGGGAGGAATGGAGCTACGCGGGGAACGGACCCCATGGGAGAGAAAGAGGAGGAGAGAAAACGCTGTTGCGCAGCCAAGAACGGCGATGAAAGTATAATCCACATTCTTTTATGGAGAGCTCCGAGAGACGAAATGCGGACGGGATAAGGGAGGGAGGGTATCATCAACTACGGCTAGAAATGGATTTCCGCGCTCTTTCCGAACCGCCTATCATAGAGAAGACTTATTTACCGCCACACACGAACCGCCTATCATAGAGAAGACTTATTTACCGCCACACACGAACGCTAGCGACGGAATGGTTCGAAGACCGCCTCGCTCAATCGTGCACTGCCTGAGGTTGCCACTTCTTCCGCCTTACACACCCCTTGTCCGCTTCTTTCCCTGGCCCAACCCACCAGAAATAGCTACCTTGCCTTTTCAAACCAATGATGCCGTAGTGCACCGCCGTCAGTAGTTCTTACGCAAGGACACTTCTTCTCCGTGCCCTGGTTCTGAAACCAATCAAGTTCCTTTCCCGAAGGACAAGGTAAAGGGGAATCTCTCTCTCTCTCTCTCTCTCTCTCTCTCTCTCTCTCTCTCTCTCTCTCTCTCTCTCTGGGGTCGGAATGGCCCTTCTCAGACCCTTTTCGGGCTGAAAACGAGACCTAGCACGGTCTACGTAACTGCTGTACCCTAAATAGACAGCCAAGCACGCGTCGTGATTCACCGGCTGTCGCCCTCTACCACCACCCAACACCGCCACCCTTCTTCTCTGACTCACCCCATCCGGCCTCCCTCCTTGCACTGGACCCCTCGTCAACCCACCCAGTAACAGACGAGACCGAGAAATCAATCCGTCCGAGAAATCAATCCTTCTGTCCCCGCCAATTGCCCATTACCACCTCTGAATGTAGATCCGAGTACACGACGCTTTACCGTTGTTTCCGCTCGCTAAACAACTGAAGATGGCGAGGCTGCCGTTCTCCCCTGCGGCGCGCGACGCTATGATACCGTTTCCCTTAAGTGCTGTCGTTTCCCGCCAGTTGCAACCTCGTTAGGCATAGCGAAATAGACAGACAAGGACATGAGGAAGAGAGGACGAGACAGCGGGAGAGGGAGAGAGAGAGGGAGAGGCGGAGAGAAAAGAAGAGGAGGAGCGCGAAGAGGGGAGAAACAGGAAGAAAGAGGGAGAGAGAGGGAAAGATGAAAAGAAAGGAAGAGGGAGAGAGAGGGAAAGATGAAAAGAAAGGAAGAGGGAGAGAGAGGAAAAGATGAAAAGAAACGAAGAGGGAGAGAGAGGGAAAGACGGAGAAAAATAGACAGGGAGAGAGATAGGAAGAGAGAAGGAGAGACAAAGGAACAGAAAGGGAGAGAAAGTAAGAGAGGGGGAGAGGCAGAGGAAGAGCAGTGAACAGCTCCATGTGCCGGAGAACATGATTCGTCGGGAGTTTGGCATCAGATTATTCAAAAATCACACACACTCCATCGGACCGTTCCGCACAATGGCGGATGACAGGTTCATCTACTTGCTCTTCGAACTACTATCTGTCTTCATGGCAGCTGTTGCTGCAGTTTGTCCAGACAGCTGTTTCCCCGGTTCTTTTGAGGAGGCAAAGCCAAAACAGCCATCAGGGTATCGCCCAGCCATCACGGCACCCCCCATAACCTTATCAACCAAGGCGAACGGAGGTGAGTCCAGTCGAGAGGCAGGAACGGCGGCGACGCATATTCGGCAGTGAACGTTCCTCCAACACGCCCGCTCAGACTTTCGGCAACTCCTTCGTCCATATCCAGCCCTCTTCTTAAACGGGGGAGGGCCAGGAGTTCACTCACTGGCTTGCCTATTTAAAGTCGGTAGTCGAAAGCAAACCACCCACCAACCAACCCACCACCTCAGATTTGTTGAACAGCCATATCCCTTACGAGCGCTTCCTACAGCTCCTACTTAGACGTGGAATTGTGTACCGGCTGGGAGACTGTGTCTTTGGAGAAGCCACCAACCTGTCACGTCCTTGAACCCCGTCCGCGGTCGTCGAAGAGTTTGAATAGACCCTCCTCCCGGCCCACCACTACCACCCCCTCCTCCGGAGCCTCCCCCCCCGCCTCCTCCTACGCCTCCACCCCCAACACCCACTCCACTTCTTCTTGGTTCGCGCCCTCGCTCCATGTACGTATCTACCCCCTTCATGTCCCCGTTCTTTTTCCCCCTCCTTTTCCCGTGCACTGCTACTTGCCCCCTTGCGCCGCAAAACACCTCACATGCACCACACACAACCTCCAAGCGCCTGTTATATCGCCACCATTCTCCAACCGATCGTTCTCCTTGCTCGCATACATGCTCCTCACCCCCGCAGCTGTCAAGAACCGGCGCTCAGAAGGCGGCGGGAGTGGCGACGACGCATCGAAACCAACGACAACCAACGACGCTCCAGAGGCGTGCAGAAGGTAGATGAACGAGAGAGCAAGCACACAACCTGTGAGTGAAGAAGCCAAGCACGCGGGAAGGAGCGCAGTCTGGAGGTGGGTACAGCACATGAGCAGGAAGGCGGGCGCGCAGCAAGCGACACCGCAGCCTAAAACAAGGGCGAAGGAATGGACGACGAAGCGCGAAGAGACAGAGGAGCGCGATTCAACTAGCTGCACCGCCGACATACAGCCAGGCCATAGCCCGAGTGCGAGCCAGCAACAACAGCGAGCAGGACGGGCAACCACGCGAAGGCAGAGTACGTGTACAAGGGAGAGAAAGCAAACGCAGAAAGCGAAGAGCAAGCTGAGGAGGGGGAGAGTTATGAGCGGAGCAAGTGAAAGAGAGAGAAGTGGGGGACGAATGGGGGAGGGGGAAAGGTGGGAGGGGGAGGGGGGTGCAGGCGAGATTGAGTACAGCCGAGAGAATCGACACGGAAGAAACTAGCAATCAAGACGAGGCCTGATAGAACACCAAAAAGTAGCAGGAAGCGGCGCCAATCGGAGTGGAAGGACGAGGAAGCTCCCAGCGCTGGGCGCTGGGCAGTGCGCGCTTGGCAGTGAGCGGTGGGCGGGGCCTCGGGACGACGTCGCGCAGACCGGAGGCTGGGCAGCGACAGGCGTGCGGGTCAGAGAGGGGTCCTGAGAGGTGACCACGAGGGACCGATGCCCTCCGCAAGCTGTCTACTGGTAGGGGAAACCGGGGGAAGGGGGGCTGGAGGGGGGCTTGCGGACGGTCGGAGCTGGGTCAGACGGGGGAGAATGCGCCGGGAGGGGCGGAGATAGGCACCGGGCAAGGGGAAGGACGGAGCGACACGAGGGGAGCGCGGAGCCTCCTAGGTAGTGCGCCCCGATCAGCGCGCAGCCGCTGGGCCGCCTTTTGCCACAAGTAGGTTTCGCGACAAGATTCTGCAACCGAGGCACACCAGATTGAAGGATATGACGCTCTATGATTGGCCCAAAGTCTTTCGGCCAATGAGAATTCCTCTTGTGGGGTCCGCTTTCACGAAGCGCCCACAAGCGCACCAGCGCAGCGCCCGAAGCTGGCTTCCACTGTCTGCTCGGCCGGCGCAAGCGGTCCGGATCCCGGAGCACCACAACCAATCGGACGGCATCCAAAGGCCGACAACAGGCCCGGAGAATTATTACTTGCTCCTATTTTTCCTCTTTCGTCTTGGAGGTACTCACAGTAGCACGTTCCTGGATGTATCGGGCCACAATCACGACTGCAAATGAATGTATCTGACCGCAACTACTACGATCGGAGGCGAGTCAAAAGGGTCGTAGTGTGAATATGCCCATACTACCTTTCCTTTTTGTTGACAGCCTCCACCACCCCGCGCCACAGCCCCTCAAAATGTTTCGCGGGGCTAAAAGCGCTCCGATCGTTCGTGAGCTTCAAGGCTTGTCTTGCGTAGGATGACTTGTAACCAATAGCGCGCAGGCGCGCTGAAGAAAGCGGAAGCGCCGGGTTCTGCGCAGACGAAACCACACCGCCAGGCCTGCCTCAACGCCCCGCCGTCTCCTATGTCCGCAGGTCTTTCTGCGCACCCTGCCCCCGACGGTAACGTGGTACCGCTCTTTCGTTTTGCGTAACTCTTTTTCTTGTGTGTGTGTTGTTTCTACCTGTTGTCGGGCATCGTTCCATTCCACTAGTCACCGAATGTGCAAAATGAGAACGAATCTCCCACTATAACATAAAATGGTGCACACTCCTAATTGTAGGCATACGGGTAGGTAGTGTGAGGTGAAATTGAGAGAAGAATATAGCTTTTTAAAAAGAAAAAAAGAAAAAAATGGTGCACACTGCAATCCGCAGGCTGGTGCCACGCTTTCTGTGGAAACCGAAGGCAAAGCAAGAGTAGGGCTTCCTAGTCAAGATTGCATGGGATCTGTTCACCTTCCCTCGCACACAAGGGGGACTGGGAATGTGGGACCCAGCCAGGAAAAAACAGGCCCAGTTGAGAGGATGGTCGTGCAAAGTGGCAACAGCGAAAGGGGAAGAAGACTGGGTGCTATTAGCCGCCAAAAGAATTCTCATCAGGGAGTGGGGTCTGAGCAGATCAGAGGATGTCTGGCTCTATCTTTCACGGACTCATTTAGAAGAAGAAAACCCGAGTCCACCTTCTGGAAAGTCATTCTGAAAGCATGGAAGAATCTTCCTCCAGACGTCCCCTCCCCTCCAAGCCTGAAGGAGGAAATTCTGGCACAACCTCTTTTCGAGAACTTAACAGTGAGTGATTTGTGGCAAATGGGTCAACTGGATCCTTTGGGCTTGCCTGGTTAAGGAGAGGAGTCTCAAGGGTGAGGGATTTATAGTCCCCACTAACGGGCAGTTGGAGGCCTTTGGAGAAAGCTAGGGAGCAACTGACTGGGCTGCGAAGGGTGGAAGAGAATTGGCAGAATCTGCTGATGGCAATCCCTCAGGAGTGGCATAACATGTTGAGCCCGGAAGGAGTGGACCCTCCAGACAAATGGTATGTAGCCACTGACAACCCGGGACAAAACACCCTGTGGAAGGTGAAGGACATCACAGCCAGCGTGTGACGCCCAACCTCACGCCCGGCGCGACTTCCTGATCGGAGTGGGGTGTGGGCCTGGAAGTGCGAAAAGGGGTGTGCCAAGGATTTTTGGGAAAGTGGGGGTGGAGTMCCAGGTCAGAACTGAGATCTCCTGTGGCAGAGTTTTTCGGGGGCACGGGTGCAATTTGGCAGAGAGGGCGGACCGCTTCCGGTTCTAAGGCCAATAGCTTGCGCAGGCCTTTCAAGGCCGCTCGATCCGTCTGTTTTGAGGACGGCGATTCATCGAAAGGTCCATTCGGGGTGGGTGTGATCCTGATGAGTCGGGTCGTCGGTTGTCGCCACGTGGCGCCAGTCGTCGCGCGTTCGGGTTGGGCCCTCGCGGTCCCGAGGCTCTCAAATTGCCACGTCGTCGACAATTTCCGCAAGGCGTGCGGGGCCAGTAGGGCGCTATGGCGTTCCACGAGACGACCCTGAGTTGATGATACGGGAGAAGAAGACGGAAGGAAGGGAAGTTAGTGGAGATAACGACAAAACCGGGGGAAATAAAGTAGTGGGTGTGGTCTGAGGTGGGAAAATCAGAGCACCGGGGATCGCTGATTGTAGCACAGTGAAACTCCCTAGGACACAATCGGTTCTCTGTTAGGTAGGGGAACCTCTGTCGAAGGCACTCTTCTATCCAAGGGGTGAAGTACTCCGGGTCCCACGACGAATCTGAGCTCCCAGAGCGTGTCACTATGTCATCGTAGAGCCGCGAAATTCCTAAGGGTGTGTCTTCGTCGATTGCGATCACCGCGTGTGAGTACATGTAGGCCGCGCGAGTCGAATTGCACTTACACTTGTTCACACGGGATGATTGCTTCGTTGTCGACGCAGGATGGTCACATCCAAGCAAGCTACATCCCCGCAATCGTTCACCTTTTTATGCGTGGGTGGTTGTGAATCGTTGCGCGTGGACACGTGTAAGTGCGTACATCAGATCGCACTTACGCGCGTCCCTGCGTGGCGTTCGCTGGTTTCTGGGCAAACAGCTACCCGATCATCTAATCACTCCGTAATTTCTGAGCATGCAAGATGCAACAATCACAACAGCTCAATCAAGGGATAAACAAGAATGGAAACAGTATTCATGATTATGCAAAATTCCTACCCTGCTCATGAGTGCATCAAGATGATAAGCAAAGGCAAAGATCAGGCGTAGGGAAAGCAACAGACATAACATTCATTCATTCAGCATAACACACCATATCCGAGATTGAAATCATAAAAACGATTGGGGGCCGAAACCAAGTCCAGATTCCGAAAACAAAAACGGGCGGATCACCCTGGACTGAGATCAAAACTTATATACAAAGGCAAGGAGGGAGAAAAGACAAAAGAAATAGCAAATCCACGTTCATCAACCTCAACTCCCTCCTCCCCTCTCTCTCTCTCCGAAGCGAAAAGTCCGTCGTCACGCACCAACCCACGAAGTCGTCACCCCGCTCAGTCCTCCCGCACCCGTCAGGTTCGCCCGCGCCCACAGTCCGTCGTGGCCCGCGTCAACTCTGCGCGTTCGGCACCAGCTCGTCGGGTCGCCCGACTCCCACTTCAATTCACCTCTTACTTCGCTCATGAGCCGCCCCTCACTGATCTCGCTACCCCGAGCTTCCAACAGCTGGTTAAGAGAGCTAACTAATCGCGCAACCGGTATTTATAGCATGCATGCATGCACGAAGAACACGGAATCACAAGGACTTAGAAAGGAAGATCAGGAGAGGGAACGCCTACGTTTTGCATGGCCATATCGCGGCGTGGGGGACGTAGCCGCTCTCCATGCATTGATCCGATCATGCAGACCGCGGCTACCAGGACGCAGCAAAAAGAAAGAAAAGAAGGGCGGGAAAGACGAAGCACAAGAAGAAAGATACAGTTACAATGGCGCCCGCCCAAAATTACAGTTACACACACGATTAAAGGCGCCGACTAATCAGAGTTTCGTTGTAGCCGCACAAAGAAGCGCACAAGCAAAAAGCACCGCGCGACCGAAGAAAATCCTAATTGCAAAATTCCGAAATTCTTATCTACTGCAGAAAAACAAAAAGCACAAACTCCGAAAAGAAAGTCCGAGATTCCGAGAGTCATCGGGGCTCGACAAAATTCGAAAAATAATTCAAAAAGAAAATTAAAAAAGAACGAAGCAAAATTCTCGCACGATGTCCGCGCCCCAAATCGAAACAAAAGAAGCGGCGTTAACAGTTATAAATCGCGCGCACGGCGGCGCGCCGCAGACACAGCCAATCAATCAATCGATC